AGGGAGCCCGATGCGGGGCTCGATCCCAGGACCCTGGGATCATGACCTGAGCTGAAGGCAGACGCTTAACGACTGAGCCACCCAGGCACCCCTCTCTGGTTGATTTAAGTGGGATGTGGGGACAAAGTCTGGGGAGGCTGTCCATGATTAATCAAGTCCTGGCCATTTGGGGCTGTTTGTTACAGAAGTTACTGGATTGATGGTAGCATGGCAATGTGGTTCCCCACAAGTCTGGCTTAGAGCAGGCTGGCTCCCCGCGCTGGTTATTGTAGAGAAGGGGGTTAGTTTCCCAGGCAGTTTGACAGGTGATGTGTCAAAGTTCTGTTTTTTTATATGCGGCCTGGCCATTGTATATTCGGTCTTTCTCACTCCGGAAGCAGCCCGTCCGCAAAGCACCCAGTGTGGGGCCCGCTGTGTTGCAGGGGAGAGACCCAGGTTTGGTCTTCAGCCTCCTTCTCCAGTCTGGGGAGGCCCCTCCAAGCGTGGCTGGCCTCCTCTATACAGAGCAGGTGCCATTCCTGCTGATTCCGGCCCTGGAAGTGGCAACACTCAGCCCCACACCCCCGCGGGCTCCCCCTAGGGGCTGCAGAGCCGGGTGGGGTCTTGCAGAGATCACCCGTGAGATACAGACACAGTGCCAGCCACAGCTGGCCAAGGTCCTGACGCCCTGGGACACCAGCTGAGATGGGCAGACAGACTCACGGTTAAATCATAAATCATTGCTCTATTCCAAGCTGACATTGGCACCCCGGGCTCCCCGAGGGTGCTTTTCCCCTTTCTCCAAACCCAGGCTCTTCGTGTGAAATGGTCCCACCTCAAGTTGCCCTGGGTGGATCTGGACTGGCTCATAGACATCTCCTGCCAGATCACAGAGCTGGACCTTTCTGCCAACTGCCTGGCTTCCCTCCCCTCCGTCATCCCCTGGGGACTCATCAACCTCCGGAAGCTGAACCTCTCCAAGAACCACCTGGGGGAGCTGCCTGGTGTGCAGTCATCAGATGAAATCATCTGCTCCAGGTGGGCACCCACCCCACGCAGGCCCCTTGGGGTGTGCACAGGGACCTCTGTACTCAGCGCCCGCCCCACCCCCACCCCCACCCCCGCAGTCCTCCTCCTGCTACGTACTCCTTGATCGGAGTTTGTGGTTTTGAAAACCAATTCTCCGTAAAAGGAGAAAAATTCTGCCTGTCCTTACACAGTTCTGAGGAATACGGTGCCCCCCTCCTTCCGAGGGGAACGCAGAGAAGTCTGGGGGGGGAGCGGTTTGTCTGGCCCACCTTACACTGCGCATGGTGGCCATGCAGTCTGCTCGCCCGAGATGTCTGGTGTTGGTCCTGCAGACAGAAATCTGAGAAGGCTGAACGCTTCCTGGCTGGGGGGAAACAGTGAGGCCCAGGGGCACCCATTTTTATTTGACCTCCCAGGGAAAGTGGGAAGGGCCTCAGAGAAAGAGTTGCCCCTAAAGCGCTCCAGCAGCAGATGGATGGCGTGGGCAGCTCCTGGTCTCCCTTTTCAGGGGGCCTTGGGAAGAGGCCTGAGCCTTCCCCCCGAGGCTGCCTGGGAAGGGCGGGGCCTTATCTCCACTGATGTGCAGTGATCCTCACTCTATAAGGATCTATAAGCCGATTTCAAAAGCTAAGGCTTCACCTAGAGTGAAGTCAGAGAGAATGTCCCACAGCGCATAGGGGCAGAAGTAAGCCACGGGGAAGAAGGCGCCACACAAACATTTCAAGAACAAGTGTCTTCTGAGTGGGGGTCCTTAGCCAGGGCCAGACTCGGAGGTCCAGATGGCTCGAAACACGGCCCTAGGGCCTTCCAGCAGTTTCTGGGACACCAGCTGACTGTGCTATCATACATTGAGAAAGGTTTACATCCCTATTGGTCAGTGAGACCTGGGCCCACCAAAGAGACGTGTGATTTTCTTCGTCTACACGGGACATGGTAATAGTTAATGCGATGAATAGAAGTCCTACCGCAACGTTTTCAACGCACGCTCTTCAGCATTGTGTGAGGGGAAAAGAGTATTATGCCCACAGAGAAACATGTAACAGAGATGCCTTTCCTCTTTCTTCTGATGCCTTGACTGCCTCCCTCCCCAACCGCAGGCTCCTCGAGATTGACATTTCCAGCAATAAACTGCCCCACCTCCCACCGGGATTCCTGCACCTCTCAAAACTTCAAAAACTGACAGCTTCCAAAAATTACTTAGAAAAATTGTTTGAAGAAGAAGGTGGTATGTTGTATCATCGACACCCTGACCTAATTTGTCATTTTGTTCTTGACAGCAGTCTTTTTACCAATTTAATATTTTCTTTTTCCCTAGCCACTAACTGGATTGGTTTGCGGAAGCTACAGGAACTCGATATTTCTGACAATAAATTGACAGAACTCCCTGCACTTTTCCTTCATTGCTTCAAGTCGCTCAATTCTCTGAATGTCTCCAAAAATAACCTGAAGGTGTTTCCAGATGCCTGGGCCTGCCCTTTGGTGAGTATTTTCCCGGAAATCATGAAAGGCCAGTCAACCCGGCATCTCACGTGAACCAGAACACTGCTCAGGGCTCTGTCTCGCTTCCTCCCCTTGGTGACCAGGCTGGGTAGCAGCATTTCTGTTCTCCTGTTACCACTGAGCGGTGTCACTCAGCATCCGGCCACTGAGTGTCTCAGGTGACTCACTTGAAAGCCAGCCCCCTCCGCAACTGCCCCACCCCGGCTCCGGGCTTGAGATTCGTGCCATAACACCCATAGAACTTTCCACAGTTACAGCTTGCTCATCTGGCATGGGGGAGTTCTGCCCAAAAGGAGGACACGGTTCCTTTCAACTAGCTGTGAAATAAGAACAAAGAAAAGAAGAAGAAATAATCCGCGTCCACCGCACTGCCAATTAAATGGTGTTTTTGTTTCTGGGGAAGTTTGCTTGTTAAAACAGATGGACTAGCATAAAGAATGTTTATGTTTTATTGCTGTTGGTTTCAAACCAAGAAATTCTCCATCGCTAGCGTTCGTGTTCTGGTTTAAACATATGAGTGTGGGAAACCAGCTCGTCTCTAGAGCTTGGTCCGGCGTGATGCTATTATTTCCAAGGACAATGGGCCAGATGTTCTGGAATGAAGGGATAGGAGCATGAGCCACCTTTGTGTCCCTCAGGAAACCATTCCCGTCCCTTCCTTGGAGCAAGGACAGCAACACGGGACAATGACAGTTTATAGCCTCTTAGCCAAGTTGTATTTATAACAGAGCCTTATTGTCGCGTTCTGATTTTCCACATCAGATTTGGAAATGGTCTTTCTCATAAGCTTAATGCACTTAAGAAGCTAATCGATACCTCCTTCTCTTTCTCGTCAAACTCCTAGAAATGTTGTAAAGCATCCAAAAATGCCCTGGAATCTCTACCGGACAAGATGGCTGTCTTTTGGAAAAACCACCTGAGGGATGTGGATTTCTCAGAAAATGCTCTCAAGGAAGTTCCCCTGGGGCTTTTCCAGCTTGATGTAAGTCTGATCGCCCTCTCTTTCTCATTTTTGGCTTCTGTGAGGGAATCAGTCCACACTGCAGTACAATCTGTAGGCTTCTCCTGAGCTTCTGAGATGAAAAAAAAAAAAAAAAGGTTAAATTGTCAAAAATGTGCGTATTTATGAGCAAAGATTGGGAGGAAGTGAGCAACATGAAAGCACAGCCCAGCAGCCCTCTGTCTGGCCTTCTCTGGCCTCTGTCCTTCTGGGCCCCTGCTCCCCACCCCCCACCCCCAGCCAAGGCCTACCAGTGTGCAAAGCCGAGGGAGCACTGCAGCGTGGGCCTTCCTGCCCGTCTCCCTCCCCAGAGGTGGCAGAACTGGAATTCCTGGGGGTCAGAAGCTTCTTTGGATGTGAACTCAAGAAAGTACCTTTTGCCAGAGCGCCATGTCCCCCTGCCCCAACCCATCCACCTGGGGCTGCTTTCTTATCTTAGGTGGTTTGCCCACCTGTCTCTGTTTTCCCCACTCAAATGGGAGCCCCGTAAGGCAGAGCAGAGCTCATATGCATCTCTTGGCACCCGGGGCCAGCCCCAGCTTGGGGCCTGACCAGTGTTGGCTGAAGGCACCAGGGAGGCCCCAGGCAGGGCCCGGGCCTCGCCACCCAGTCCTTCCAGGCCAGCCACCTGGGCCCCCACAGGGTCTCGTGCCGGGAGAAGTACAGCTTCCCCTCATGTTCAGGGACCCCTAAAGGGCCAGGAAGGTACCTTCTATCTGTGTGTTCTCAGGGAGGAGGGCCACCAAGTCTCAGGCCCCGGGGCCTGCACACTTTGATGGGGGCCCTGGTCGGTGAGGGTGTAGGTCACTGCTCCCCTCAGGGGCACCCCTGGCTTATTAGCTTAGTCCCCTGATCTGAGTCGGTATCCTCATTTCTCCCCGGCAGCATGCCGACTGGGTTCTCTGGTTCCCACCAAGGCCAGAAGCAGCAGATCAGGAGGGAAAGAACTTTGTCCAGGACCTTACCACTCAGCCCTGTGGGAATTCATGTTTGCTCACGGTCTCCCCCTCCAGATGGGGGTCCTGGGAGGCCCTGCACAACCCTGGGGTCCTGGGGCTTGGTGCATGCACGGCCCTACGAGGCATTCGGTGACATGCTGGTTGTGATGGTGGGGGCAGTTTGGACCCCCTTTGACAAGGGAGGAGGCGAGGGCATGGAGTAGGGAGTATAAAGCAGGGCAGCCCGTTTGCACTCCTGAGCCTTGCCCACCGAGGACAGGAGAGTCCCTGTCCCTAGTGAAGGCTTCGAGAAAGGTTACAACATTCCGCCTGTACTCCCACTAAAGTAAAACATGTTACAAGTCCAAGGGCGGAGCTTGTCCCCGCAGTTTCTGGTGGGCGGACAGAGGGCCAATGGCCAGGGGGTCAGCAGGGGGCACCGGGCCAGCAGAGGGGGCCTGGCTGGGGCGGGTGACCCTCCATGTCCCCGCCACCCTGCCCCTGCACGGGGCATCCCCCGAGGAGGTCACGGGAGGCAGGGGCGCCCCGCTGCCGTGTGATACCTTGGCCTCCAGGACCCTCAGCACCGGCCGCTGCTCCCCGGGCAGGCCCGTGAGTAATTGTCGCTCTTCAGAAGGCCCAATGCTGAGACGTACTTGGACTCCTTTCGTTCTGGAATGACTGCCTCCCATTGATCTGGAGGGAAGGACCGTGTTCAGACCGTCCTGTTGGCTGCGTTGGGTATAATTTCATGAGTTCTAAGAGGCTGTTGAGCCTGACACTATTGGAATCTTGGTGAAGGTGAATCGGTTATCATCATTTTGCTGCATTTTGTCAGGGAGCTGACCCTTCTCCTCAGTCTGTCCTCCCTGTGGTGTTTGATGGTGTCTCTGCATCTCTCTCTCTTTCTCTCCAGGCCCTCATGTTCCTAAGGTTACAGGGAAACCAGCTCATGGCGCTGCCGCCTCAAGAGAAGTGGACCTGCAGACAGCTCAAAACCCTGGATCTTTCCAGAAACCAATTTGGCAAGTAAGCATGGGGGCTCTTTACCCTGGCAAGTTCTAAAACGCATGTGTAACCACAGTCCAGCAGCCCCTGGGGCTGGTGGCTCTGTTGGTTTATTAGGGCTGCAGTAACAAAGCATCACAGGCTGGGGGGCTTACACAAGACATGTCTATCCCCCCCCCACGCTTCTGGACGGGGTGAGTCTGAGGTTTCTCCCGAGGGCTCTCCCCAGGGCTTGCATAGAACCCCCTCTTCCCTGTGTCTCACATGATCTTCCCTCTGTGCATACCTGTGTCTGAATCTCTTCTTAGAAGGACACCAGTCAGATTGGATTAGAGTCCACTCATATGACCTCATTTTAACTTGTTTACCTCTTTAAAGACCTTACCTCCAATTACAGTCACATTCGGAGGTCCTGGGGGTTAGGACTTCAAAACATAGGGGCGCCTGGGTGGCTCAGTTAGTTAAGCGTCTGCCTTGGGCTCAGGTCAGAATCCCAGCATCCTGGGATCGAGCCCCACATCTGGCTCCCTGCTCAGCAGGGAGTCTGCTTCTCCCTCTCCCACTCCCCCAGCTTGTGTGCTCTCTCTCTCTCTCTGTCAAATAAATAAATAAAAACATCTTTAAAAAAAAGAAAGGACTTCAAAACATAAATTGGAAGGTGGGGGGCACAATTCACCCATAACAGCATCCTCCCATTTCTAAATTTTAAAGGCTCCTGGAGGATCTTCTCACACCTAACCTGTCATTCTTTTCCAAAGTTTTGGCCAGCCACTCACCAAATGCACATCCATTGAATAAAAATCACTCCCAAAGACTTCTAATAAAAGATGAAAATGTGGGGATGAGCACAGCTGGCCCCTGGGGTCCTGGAGACCAGCCTCCCTATTTCACTTGCTGAAGCCCACCCACTTCTTAGCAGGACTTGACCCCCGAAAGAGAATCCCCCCACCCCAGTGAGAGTGTGTGATATGGAACAGCTGCTGGAATGGGCCATCTTGCCAGGCACAGAAATGCTCACACCTGCCTGAAATGGAAAAGCTCAAGAATCGAAATCACCATTGGTCATGCTGAGCTTAAGCAGTGTGGGTGCTTACCTAGTAGCTGCAGGGGGCCCCAACACCCTGCTGATGGAATGTTCTCCCTTATCTCCGCATGGCTCGGCATTATAGTGTCACAGCAAAAATTGTCATGCTCTCCTCAAAATCTGATTTTTTTTTTTTTTGCCCCTGCAGAAATGAAGACGGACTGAAAACAAAGCGTATTTCCTTTTTCACCACCAGAGGGCGCCAGCGTCCTGGGACCGAGACAGGTGTGTGAGTCCCTGGGGGCAGATGAGACCGCCGGGCGGGCAGTTCCCTGCTCCACCACCGGGGGACGCCCTTACATGGGGCTTTCCCTGAGAAACCTGGGCGCGCACTGTGCCCCTTGCTCATCAGGCAGGTGTGGCCTGCAGGTATCCCGAAACCCTCTTTCCTGCTTGCCATCCAGTGAGACTGGTAGCTATGGTGTGGATGGTTCTGCCGTGAGTGAGCATCGCCCTCGAGATGGTACACCTGTTAGCGCCTTTCTGTAAGGCTTACGGAATGGGGTATGGCTTGGAGTTCCCCACTTTGCAGGTGAGGAAGCTGAGGCTCCCACGGGATTGCAGTCAGCTCAGGCTCCCATAACAAAGCACCACAGACTGGGCGGCTGAGACAATAGAAATGTATGCTCTCACAGTTCTGGGGGCTGGAAGTCTGAGATCAGGCTCCTTGTGAGGGTCTTCTTGCTGTTTTCTCAGAGAAAGAGAGAGACGGACAGACAGAGCAAGCTCTCTGGTATCTCTTCTTATAAGGGCACTAATCCCCCCTCATGGGGACCCTACCTTCATGACCTCATCTAAACCTAATTACCTCCCAAAGGCTCCAACTCCAAATATCATCACGTTGGGGGCTAGGGCTTTGACGTGTAAGGGGGGGCGGGCACAATTCAGTCCACAGCACAGAGACTGACTGACTGACTGACTTGCCCAGGTCACGTGGCTGCTCGGCGACAGAACCAGGTTTCAGCCCAGCACTGAGGGACCCCAGCCCCGAGGTTGGGAAGGGTAGCACCGTGAGGTCTTCATGGCCACAATATATAGCGTCTGACGAAGACCACATGGGAGCACGGCCCTACCGCCCTGGCCAGCCTGAGATTCTGTTTTCACCCAAACTCATCAGAAACAGAACTGTTCCTAGAGTGTTCTTACTGGGTCTACAACCAAGCCAGCTCAGCAGACAGCATTCCAGGAAAACAAATTCTTCTCATTCATCATTTTCCGGGAGGTATGGGGGGAAGGTGTGGACCTGGCCCTTGAGCTCCTCAGCCAGCCCTCTTTTTTAACCTGAAAGCAAAGATTTCTAAAGCCAGCTATGCTCCCACAAATATCCCTCAGGATGCTGTCCCGGAGAACAGGAACCAATATTTAGGTCATTCTCAACGTAACAGAACGTTCTTCTTTGGCTCAGTTTATGTTGGCAGGTGCTCTTTTAGTACAGATGGTGTAAGATGGGGACGAGAAATGCCAGAGGCCAGGACGCATTTGCAGGAGATGACCTAAGTAGTCTGTCCACCTGTTACACTTCTTAATGAACTGGTATGTGTATATACACACATACGTATGCATCAGTCATGTGTGAGTGTGTGTGTTTACATGTGATTAAAAAAGTAACATGTCATCAGTGGAACAGACCTAAGTAAATAATAGGAATTTAGCATGTGACAAGGTGGCATTTCAATTTAGTGGGGGAAACATGTTCTGTTGTTTTAATAAATACTGTGTTATACCTGCCTGTCCAGTTGGAAGGGGAAAATCACAACACTGGATTCCCTACCTTACATCTACTACAAAAATTTCCATGTGGATTTCAGATTTTTAAACATTAAAGGAAAACTATAAACATTTAAGAGAATATAGGTAAAATTTGTGGATGGAGAAGTCCTTTAAAAACCAGGTGGGAAATCCAGAAGTCACTAGAAAAAGACCAAAACCTTGGGCTTTGTAAAAATTGAAAAGCTTTGTTCAGTAAAAGGCATCATAAACCAAGTCATAATGCAAACAGACTGAGAAGAAATATTTTCAACGCAAATCATTGCGACATAAATTGACTTAACTCCCTAATATACAAAGGCTGCTTACAAATTAATTTTTTGAAAAGGATAACTCAGTTGGAAAAAAAAATAGGGGAGGGCAAAGGATATAAACAGTTTGCAGAAAAGGAAGTCCAAATGGCCCAGAAACAAATGAAAAGGCCCCGAACCACACTAATGGGGCTGCACAATGAGGAATTTCATAACTCATCCTTTTTGAAATGCGGGGCCTTTAGGACTTTGGAAATTGAGTCCAGACATAGGGATTTCACTTGGAAGGAAGGACAAACACTTTCTTCTCATTGATGCCAAAACGGTATAATACCCTTGAAAAGTGTAGCTGGGATAGACCTCGGTCAGGCTTCTATTGCTGTGGGTTGAGCCTCGTCCATTTGAGTGGATTAGAAATGTGTCTCCAGTTTAGAAATGCAGAAGGGCATGAGGAGGTAGGGCCCAACACTCAGTGGGACCAGACACTCCCTGTGGAGCCATCAGAGTACAAGGCCAAAGGCATGCCACAAAAAACACAACAGGAGCGTGTACTAATGTTCTGGAAAACGGTTTTGCTGGTAGCCCGCAGGAGCCCGGCTGGGGAGCGAGGTGAGGAGGCCACACCCCTTGGAAGTTTCCCTGGCAGAGGTGGACGGTGGCTTTGGCACATGACAAAGGCCTCTTGAGTTTGCTAATTTCGTCCCGAATGTTGAGGCCCACCCCTGGATGAAAAGGAGACCCGGTTGAAAATTCTTCCGGGGGGGGGGGCGGGGGAAGGGAGGTTATTCTCTGGGGGCTGTTGATCCTCCGGTAAGGAATTATCTATAAAAGCTAACTTGTTTGCAGATGGATAGTAAAATTCCAAGGAGATTTATGTACATTCAAGTAGTCCTATTTGTGCGGCGGCCTCGTCCAAAAATAATTTGGACAGCCGTTTTTACGGTAAAACTCAGACCAGCAGAGTCATAAATAACTCTAGGCATAATTACAGTTCATAAATACCTGGCGCTGTGCTCTCCCAGACCCGCTTCTGCACGGGGCCAGGAGCTCTGTGACAGGTGCTGCTTCTGTTCCCCGTGGTAGTTCCTTATTCCGTCCGCCCGTTACTCAGGCTTCATAAACACCGAGGTACGACTTGAAAATCAGAAGGCACAGAGGCCAGGTGTTCTGAATGTGTTCTCGGGGAAGAAAGTGAGCCTTTCTTTCTTCCCGTGCATGTTCTTTCAGTGTGTGCCGGGGCAGGCTAAAGTGAATCATTCTTTTTCACTGGGGGGGAAAAACAAGTCCTTTTGAGCATTTTCCTCACGTTCAAAGCCATCTTTAAAAGTCTATTGCACCTTCATTACACTGAAGGAGGTACTGCCCTGAGTCCTCTTCCCATGGGGACCGGCTAGGCTGGTTTTCCGGGCTCCGATTTCGGGATTCCGTTATCGTCTCTCCCAGAACATTCTCTGATCCTAGGTTACCCCATTACCATCGATACCGCGGGCGACACGTGTGGAGAAGAGCCAGAGCAAAGGGAGAAAGTTGTGATCAAGGGCAGGAAAGTCACTTCAGCCCAACAAGAGAATCCTGGCTTCTCTATCTCACTGGGCTGGCAGAGGGCCAGAGGAGAGGGCTTTGGGGCCATCTTTTATCTTGAGTTCTGGGAGCTGGAGCTGAAAGGGACCCTTGCAGGCGTGGAGTCCTGCCCCCTCCCACCCCCCCACCACTCCCTGCCTTATCAGGGAGGATAAGGCACTTCGGAGATTGTGCTGAAACCTAAGCCTCTGATCCCCATCAGTGCGCGAGTCCAAGCTCCCAACCCCAGTCGCTCTCAGCTCCCACACTCCGGTGCCCGAGGAAGGAACACATACAACATGATCTTAATGGGAATCTCATAATTAGCCTCATTAACGAAGTCGCTTAAATACCAGAGAGTTGGCTGGCTTTTCAGAGAGTGGCATCTCAGGCAGCCTGAAAACCGAGCCCATTGTATTATTTGTTAATAGACTGGCTTTCTTTTAATTGAAGAGGGCAGGTCCCCAGTAAACAGAATTTTTGAGCAGTGGCAAATGGTGTGGAATGAATATCCAGCCTCCTAGTAATTCCCTTCCCCAGAGACGACGGTGGAATTTGATGCGTCTGTAGTAATCATTATGTTTGTGTCTAACATACGTGTCCGTGCGTGTGCGCCTGTATGTTCACGTGCCTGGAACAGCATGTAACATGCACCCACGTGTGGTGTGTGTGCATGTCTATAACACCATGTACCTGTGTGCATATGTGGCCTGCACACAAACAGCATCGCAGAGCATCTATGTGCGTTACAGCGCACGTACATGAAACATACACACATAAATGCACGGGGTGTGTGTTTGCTCACATGCCCGCACACCCACGTTTTCAGTTCACCAATAGCTCTTGAGTATCACTTCATACCCGCACATGTAGACCTGCCCCATGCTTTGCAATAATTGTATATTCTCTCGTTACTCATCAGCCACCTCCCGGTAGGCTGTCTTCTGTTTTGGCTGTTACAAACAGCGTGCCATGGAGTGTCCTGCCCTCACATCCTTGCCACACACGTGCACGGATGTCTGTAGGGCCATCCCCTAGAATTAGAATCCCTCGGTCAGGAAGATGAGCACCTTATTCGGGGCGACTTGCCAAAATGCCCTCTGGAGGTTGCGCCCGCAGGTCCACCTGGCTGACCTGCATGCTGGGATGGTCCAGAATCATCTGCAAACATCCAGTCTGCTTTGCCATTTCTTCGCAGCGGGGGTGCTGGAATTCCCGGCCTTCCTAAGTGAGTCTTTGGAAGTCCTTTGTCTGAATGACAATCACCTGGACGCCATCCCTCCCTCGGTTTGCCTCCTGAAGAGTTTATCGGAGCTTTACCTGGGAAAGTGAGTACCCAGCCAGCGCAGGGAGGCAGAGTGTCCTCTGTAACCCATCTGAGGACCCAGACACTGCCGGGGAAGTGGGGGAGGGGAAAGAAGCCATCTATGTACCGGGAGGCAGCAGGGGGACTTGCAGAACAGGGCTTAGTCAAAGAGGTGGGCGAGGGGAAGGCAGGGGCCGTGAGAACTGCTCAGTCAGTCATCCTTCCATTTACTGAAAACCTACCACCAGGCACCGCGGAGGGGGTGCAGCGTGCGAAACAATGAAAATATCAAATAATTCCATTGTGTTGCCTTTTTGAGAAGAGACACTGATAATCTTTATGGCATCGTAATAAATAGAAGAGCCGAGGACGTTGAGGAAGGAAATCTAGTTCTAAGCCACAGGGATCTGCAGAAGACAGAGCTGGCTTTCTAGTGAGAAAGGCTTTGGAGTTATTGTCTAAACGGAACGCTCAAAAGCAAAGCCCGAGATGTTGGGGTTGGGGTGCAGGACCCAGAGGCTGCCAGGCTGCGAGGTTGCTGCATGCGTGGGTGTGGGGGTGTGTGTGCGTGTGTCCTCCCACGGTGTCCTCCCATGGTGTACGTGTGCCCTCAGCAATCCTGGCCTCCGAGAGCTCCCTCCTGAGCTGGGGCAGCTGAACAATCTCTGGCAGTTGGACATTGAAGACCTGAACATCAGCAACGTGCCCACAGAGATCAAAAAAGAAGGTAGGGCTTCTGAGGCACTCCCCCCTCCCCTGGGGAAAGAGGACTCAAGTCCGGTCATTAAGGACCTGGGCTGGAAGCAGCCTGGGCTCCCGTGGCTGGGTACCACTGTATTGCAATTAACCATACGATAAAACTATCTATGATTCTCTGGGCAGGAAGGATATTGTCTTTAGGCCCTTGACTTTTGGACTTCACTTTTGGGGTAATTATGACCGCAACATCCCCCCTCCATCCGACCCAATCGCCCTCTCCACTTCCCCCCATTAGAACACATAGAAAGTGTTCCTTCAAGACAGGATTTTTGTTTCCCAAGAGCTGTGAGCATGTTCTTGCCCACATGTCAGCAGCATCTACCTTCCCCGCTCTGTGATTTTGCGTAGGCCCCAAAGCAATGTTGTCTTACCTGCGCGCTCAGCTGCGGAAAGCAGAGAAGTGCAAGCTGATGAAGATGATCATCGTGGGTCCTCCGCGCCAGGGCAAGTCCACCCTCCTGGAGATCTTACAGACGGGGAGGGCCCCCCAGGTGGTGCACAGCGAGGCCACCATCAGGACCACCAAGTGGGAGCTCCAGAGGCCAGCTGGCTCGAGAGCCAAGGTCAAGGATGGTCGGCGTGCAGAGTCCCCCCAGGGGTGGGAGGGAGCTTCCCCGGGCCCCTTCTTTCTCCTCTCCAGAGAGCCTGGGATTTTCACAGCCTGCTGTCTGAGGCCCAGAATATTTACAAGGGCCTCTCCTGCCAAGGGCAGTGAATAATTTCTTAATAATTTCTTAACATGACCTCGTGGTTGTTCTGTTATAGTTAAGTTGAGGCTTCGGGCCAGTGGTTCTTAATCTTGGCTGTCCATTAGATTTCTCTGATGAACTTCTAAAGACAGCAGTGGCCAGGCCTTTCCACTCCTGGCCCTAAGGATGGCATTTCAAATGGTCCGGAGTAGCTGCCCCCCAGAGCTGAGAGCAAACTGCTACTCTAGGCAGTGAGACACAGCAGCACCTGCCCCTGATGGGGAGGCGGAGAGAGCACTCCTGGAATGAATGCGCTGGCCTCCCTGACACCTGCTTTCACCCCAAGTTCTGAAAAGTCGAGTTCTTGAGCCCCTGCTTAAAACGAATCCTTTGGCAACTCTTAATCATCTTGTATTCTGTTCAGTATGAGACGAAGGAAAATGAACATTGTCTTGCCCTGGAATCAGAGGAAAGGGACTGCAGAAGAGTTGGAGGGATAGGCCCTTAGCTGTTTCTCCCAGCTCAGGGAAGGAACACTCAGGGAAGAGGCTGCACGATGTCCCCCTACGGCCCCCAGCACAGGGCCAACTAGAGACCGGTTTCCTTGCAAAGTCTTTTACAAAAAATCACTTTCCAAGTTGGGCATTCCAGTTCGGGTCATTAGGCATTTAAGCTGTGTATTTTAACAGACTCGGAAACTGGTCCTGTACAGAGCAGAGTCCCGCCTCAGAGTGAGTTCTGAACGAGTCCAGGACAGTCAAATACCTAATACCAGCAGAACCACCACCACCCCAGAACACCCCAGGAGTGAATCTCACTAACTCACGTCCAGGAGCTGTCTAAAGTCACCCAGAATCTCTGGATTCTCTCCTGGTTTTTTGTTTTGTTTTTTAAAGCAGTTACTCAGTATCACTTTCTTCCAGCTGGTCTTTGGCAAACGATGGTCCGAGCTCCGAGGGGTGAATTGCTGTTTCCATCTTTCTTGTCCTTTGGCCCCCACTTCCTTTTGGCCAGCATTCTAATCTCCCCTCCTTTGTCGAAGGACAACCACCACCTGATCTCTCGAACGCAGAGCCCCGTCCCTGCCCGTGTGTCTGGGCCCTCAGCCAGTTTAGAATGGCTGTCCATTTTCACTCCCTTGCAAAAGCAGGTCAGCACGCCTCATCTCGGCAGCCAACGTGCAACATCTCAGAAACGATCCTTTGCTGCAGAAAGCTGCAGTCTTGGCTGCTCGGGCCAGACTCTTAGCTCATAGGACCATGGAGAAACCACCGTTTACACAGCCTTTCCCCGCAAACAGCTAATCTTTTGTGTTGATTCCCACGTCGGGGCAGCTTCCCATCATCCTTGGTGGGCGCCGCCCTCCAGCCTACACAAGCGCGGAGGCCCGTCTCCTGGGCCGCGGCTTCCCACGGATGGAGGTTAAGCCTCGGCATGAGCTCCGGCGTCAGCCCCGGGGCCCCCTCCAGCGGGAGGTCTAACCGTCTGCAGCAGAGGCAGGGCCGTGTCCCCAGTGTTCTGCAGACACAGGTGGACGCAAACACCCCAGCCCCCCGGGAGCCCCCCGGGAGCCCGCCGTCCAGGGCCCGGCCCCCTGCTCTGTGAGCGGTAGATAGAAGCTTCCAGAAGTCCCACCTCCGCACCGCTGGGCCCCTTTCCCTCTCTTGGGTTCCTTGATTCCCGAGACCAACGGCAGGACGGGCCAAGCTCTTCCGCTGCAACCGTGGTCCCTAAATGCCTCCTGTCGTTGCCCCTGTTGCTCAAGCAGGTGGAGTCTGTGGAATTCACCGTCTGGGACATCGGCGGCCCCGCGAGCATGGCCACCGTCAACCAGTGCTTCTTCACAGACAAGGCCCTGTATGTGGTGGTCTGGAACCTGGCGCTGGGGGAGGAAGCTGTAGCCAACCTCCAGTTCTGGCTGCTCAACATCGAGGTGAGGAGACGCCAGCCCTGCAGCTCCCAGGCCTCGGAGCATCACGGGGGATGGGGGGCGCCTCTTCTCTGAAGCATCCCCCTTTACTGAGGAAAAACAAGGGAAACGGTCAGGGAGAAACACTGGGCATCTTGGCGGGCGTCCAGAGGACCCCCGAATCATAGGTCACCGTGGAGCGCTTAAAACCCTCCTCGGCCAGATGGTTGTCCGAGCTCTCCTAATTTTCTTGTACCTTAAATTTAAGAGCCAGCCCCTCCCCCCACAACTCTTGGCCCCAAGAGGAAGACAGAGCTCCCCTCTCACAAGTAAAGATGCTAAGAGGCTGGATGCAGGCCAGGTCACAGGCAGCTGATGCACTGGCTGAAGGGATGGGAAATCCAGCCCTTCTGGGGTGCCTCCCGGAACCCCTCTATGCACAACATGCCCTCGGGGTTTCCTGGGAGCCGTTTCCCAGTCCCTTCTTGGAGTGAAGGGAGCCGATGCTCAGCTGTGGGGCTCTCTCCGGCAGGCCAAGGCCCCAAACTCGGTGGTGCTGGTGGTCGGAACGCACCTGGACTTAATCGAAACCAAATTCCGAGTGGAGAGAATCGCAACACTGCGCGCCTACGTGTTGGCACTCTGCCGCTCGCCCTCTGGGTCCCGGGCCACCGGCTTCCCGGACATCAGCTTCAAACACTTGCAGTGAGTGTCCTGCTCTCTGGTACCTGGTGCCCCGCTGGGGCTGAGGCTCCGGCTTCCTCGCTTGTCCGTCTGCCCGGGGACGCTGGGGTCTGCCTGCAGGGGGCTGCTGAGCCAGAGGACTGGCAGGGCAGAGCCTGGACACACCCTCTCCGGGTGTGTGGGTCCCCTCCTCCCCTGTGGCCAGTGTTGAGCATGCCCGGCCCCCTTGGGACCAGGAGATGGAAACTCGTGTACTCCCTGTCACATTTGCTGATCTCCGACCAATCACAGACCCCCGGCATGGTCCTGGTCCTCACACTGGGTCTGAGTGGTCCGGGCCAGTGGCAGCAGGACCGGGGCCCTGGGCTTGTTGCTTGTCTCACCTCCTGTCCTGGGACTCACAACAGCCCCGTGGGTTATGGGGATCATCGTGCCCACTTCACAGATGATGGAAGGAGCTCAGCAAGTTAAGTAAGCCTTCTCTCTTAGGAATCAAGCATGGGTTGCTACACTGTGCTGGGGGCTCTCGGGTTCCCTCCCTCTGGGTGGAGTGCCACAGACCTCGGTGCAGGGATCAGCCTGGGGACACTTCTGCCTGCCTCAGAATGCAGGATCTGGCTGATCCTGATGCAGAATTTCAGGAATTCTTCGTGTGCCCTTGAGAACACCCCTGAGGCCTGTAACAACAGGGGCACTGGCTCTGGGCCAGACCTGGGTCCAACCCGAGTCTGCTCCTTTCCAGCTTGTGTCCTTGGGGGTCACCTTGCACCTTCGGGCCTCACATGCCTCCTCTGTAAAATGGGCGCGCTCAGGACACATACTGCATCGCTCCCCGCACAGAGCTCTGCACCACGTGAGACCTTAATACATGTCTCTGCGTTCACCTTTCACGGGTTCTTTTAACTTGCCAGCATTAGGGACAAAACCTGGGACACAGAGATGCTACAGCGCTCGTCAGAGAGAAGCGGTGTGATGAGTGATCACGTTCTGTTTTGCACTCACAGCGAGCTCTCCTGTAAGAGTCTGGAAGGCCAGGAGGGGCTGCGGCAGCTGATTTTCCACGTCACGTGCAACATGAAGGATGTGGGCAGCACCATCGGCTGCCAGAGACTTGCGGGGAGGCTGGTGCGTACCTCAGGCTCCAGCTGCAACCAGGGGGGCCCGCTCTCTTTCCGCCAGGAGTCCCAACACGTATGCCGTGTGCTCAGGCTCGGTGGTCCCCATGTGAGCAGTTTGGCGACCGGGCCGGGGGGAGGCCGGGGATGGGGCGGGGGTGAGAGGAGAAGCTCCCGTACTCAGGCCTCCGGGGAGTGGGGGGCAGCAGGCAGGGCTGGGTGGGTGGGGCGTGCCTCGCCACCTGTGGGGGCCCAGCCAGCCCACCTGTCCCCCCAGATCCCCAGGAGCTACCTGAGCCTCCAGGAGGCCGTGCTGACCGAGCAGCAGCGCCGCAGCCTGAACGACGACGTGCAGTACCTAACGGACAGGCAGCTGGGGCAGCTGGTGGAGCAGATGGCCAACAACGACATCAAAGACTATGAGGACCTGCAGTCCGGTGAGTGGGCAGCCCGGGAGGGCGGGGCGAGGGCCCCCGGGAAGGGGGGGGTGCGTCCCATTTCTCAGCGCTCTGCGCCTGTCTGCAAATGACCGTCAGAGCACTCTGGGTGGTTGTGATGTGGGGGGGGTCACAGATTCAATGAGTAGGCACATTTGCAGAGATGGGGTCCGCGAATGCTGGAGATGGGCGGACTGGAGCCCCCTGGCTGGCCGTCAGGTCAGCGCATCGGCAAGAGTTACGGGGTGCCGCTAGGGAACCCGGGACCGGGCAGCAGAGCCGTCGAAAGGGCCCTGGGTGCTGGGAGCATTGCTTGCTTCCTAAGAAGAACATGGGACTACGTCACCCCAGAGTCCCTGTCACCCTTTGTCTGATGCTGCTTCGTCCTCCCCTTCCCTGGGCAGCCATCAGCTTCCTCATAGAAACCGGCACCCTGCTGCACTTCCCGGACACCAGCCACGGCCTGAGGAACCTCTACTTCCTTGACCCCATTTGGTTGTCCGAATGTCTGCAGAGGATCTTCAACATCAAGGGCTCGCGGTCAGTGGCCAAGAATGGGGTGATCCGGGCAGAGGACCTCAGGATGCTGCTGGTGGGGACGGGCTTCACGCAGCAGACGGAGGAGCAGTATTTCCAGTTCCTGGCCAAGTTTGAGATCGCCCTGCCTGTGGCCAACGACAGGTGAGGCCACGGCCGGGCTGGGCTGCTCACGCTGCATGCGGGAGGAAGGAGGGGAAACCGGGGTCACTGGTGGCTTGCAAGAGCTCCAGGCCCCGGGGCCATGGGGACGGCCTGCCTGCCTGGGCTGGCGGCTCCTTCCTGTGCCATGGGTATCTCTTTTCGGGGTGTTCAAAGAAACGCAGTCACTGAAAAAAAAAATGCAGGAAAACATGCAAGAAGGGCATTAAAAATATCTTGGGGGGGTGGGGTTCATGTTTTAGAGGGTGGATGGCTTGGTTATTTGGTAAATGCAAATGGGGTAAGTGACAAGGATGCGCATGCTAATTACACCGCCTGGCTTC